AGCCTGGCTTCAAACTGGAAAGAAAGAATGTTGCAACTTTGGGTTAAAAAAAAAAAAGTGTTGGTGGATTAATTTTGGTCAGGGATTTCTGTAAAGTGAGTATTTGGTTTCATGAGTAAGAAAACCCCAAAATTAAAGCAATCATTTTCTCTTTTTGGCACTATGTATTCAACAAAAGTATTTGAATATTCACTGTGTGCCAAGCAGTGTAGTGGACACTGAGTAAAACGATAAACCAGTCATGGTACTTATTAGAGACATCTGCAAAAACAAGATGTCATCTGGAAGACTGAATGAATCTAGTTCAGTAGGAGTAGCAGACGCTCTGCTAACATTGATGGTGTTGGGGAAATATAATTAAAATAAAAATCTCCCAACCCAGAAAACCTCTCTACAGAGGTAGAAGAGAAAGAAGACAAAATTATTATTCAGTAAGCATTAAAGCAGAATGTAATGCATCATACTAAAGAGATTACAAAGACAAAGTAATCTTTCTCTTCCATAAAGCTAAGTGGATACATTACGTTCATGTTTTCAAGATCAATTTTCTAGTTTTTTTTTTTTTGTCTGAGAATTTGGTTTGCAATTTGGAGTCTGTTGCGACCTGAATGAAGTTCATCTCTTCCCAGGAAGCTGGGATGATTACATTTCAAAAGAAATAGCTCACAGTAACTGAAGGAAACATCCTAGGTTTATGTAATTTTCAGAGACAGAGAAAGAAATGACAAGTTTTCTAAAGTGAATACTAAAAGGAAAGGAAGAGAGAAGGCAAATCTGTTCTCTCATTTTCAACAAGAAAAATTAAAACCTCTTATTTTTTTTTTTTTTGTATTTGCACTTATAATGCATTATTTTTAAAAAGTTATCCTTGAACCAATATTCAATAACAGTGCCAGGCACCTAGAGACTTTACATTATTCTTGAGGGAGTTGGATAATAAACAAATAGTCAAGCAAATATGTAATATGTTCAATGGTGAAATGTCTCTGAAAAAATAAAGCAGAGTGAAAGGACTAGCAAGTATGGGGCAGGCTACTATATCAGGATCAAGGAAAGACATAGGGTGTAGGGGAGACCAGAGGGAATGAGGGAGAGATTGGGTTCTGGACTGTGTAAAGAACAAAGCTGCTACTGCTGTGGTGAGGGAAAAATAGTAGGGGTAGTAGGAGATAAAATCAGAGAGATGGCACTGGTCCACATACATAGGGCTTTTGGGGCCATTGTGCAGGCTTTGGTTTTTAAAGTGAAATGGACAGTTGATGTTTGGAGTGTGATCTGTTAAGTTGAAAAGAGATGGAGGAGGTCAGTGGTGTAAATAAAGTCAGTAAGGAGAGATAATCCAGGTGAGAAACATGGTAGTTTAGAGCTAATTTTGGATATATTCTGAAGATAGAAACAGGAGAATTTGCTGATATGGTGATGAATGGCTCTGGGGTGCTAATGCAAGAGGGGAAGGTGACAAGGAAAAAAAGAGTCACTGCTGCCCTTTGTTGTTGTTGTTCCTCCTCCCCACCAACCCCAACAACAGGAAAAATGGAATTACCATTTTCTGAGAGTGGGAAGATTGCAGAAGAGCACAGTTGGGAATGGAATGAGACTGTTGAGAGGTTATGATGCAGGAACAAGGAGGTTCTTACCACCTGTTGTGAGTAGAGCCAATCACCACAACAGGTTGAAGTGGAAAAACAAAAGATACAATAGAGTATCAATACCCAAGGAGGCAGAGAGAATCACTTCTCTAAAAAGTCTGTCTCCATGAGCTGAGAAAAGGTTAAGGTTTTTAAAGGGAATTGGGCTGAGGTGTAGGGAGGTTTGAGGAATGCTGATAATGTCTTCCTGGTTTGGGGTGAGTCTGTCTCTTCCTTCTGAACTTTCTTATATTGTTCTGGTCAGTGATGTAAAATGGCCTTAGTCAGAATTGTTTTGCAAACTCGTCACACTTGTCCCGGAAAGATTAACTCTAGAACTAGGGTGTTAACTCTAGGGGAGAATGTGGGAGTGGGTACACTTAGCCTTCTAAGACTGCCAAGAATGTTGGTTTCCTCTTTATCTTGGTTGCTCTAAGTTGAGTGCCTCTCTTCTCAGGGTTGTTTTGCCACTTAAACTGTAGTGATCAGCCAAAACAAGGTGTGGGGGTAAGCCATGCACTCAAAGGAATACATAAGCAGAAAAACAATACAGTAGGAACTATTGTCTGTGAAAGGGTCAGCTATTGTATTTATGCAGTGGGAAGGAGTGGGGGGATAAACAAAGAAAATTAATCTTTGTGATTAGCATCTGCTTTAATCATGGCCGTTAGTTTATTATACTCCTGCGGTTTCTCAGCAAAAGGCTTCTCTGGCCCTGTTATAGGAGGAGGGGACCTCATGAAACCCAAATGGGTTCTTGTCTTCTGGCAAGAAAAAATTGCTCACAGAGATGGAGATGGTTTGTAGAGAGCAAGTCTTTAATGAAGCACTCACTGCATGAGACTGTACAGTGGGACAGAAAACTAGGTTTATAGCACGCTAGCTGGACTGCCAATATTTCCTAGTTGGCTTACAGCAATTATAGAGGACAGAATGAGGAAGCTGTACAATTAACAAGTCACGTGGGTGGGATTCCCAGCTTTTGATGTTCTGGTTCTCCGGATTGATCCAGGCATCTGCTTATCTATAGATCAAAAGGGGCTCAGTCAGGAGTCTCCTGTGTTGATACCCTAGGACCTGCAACAAACAGTCTGGCAGATCAGTAGGGGTAATTTAACTAGTTTACAAAAGAATAAGCCCTATAACTTCCATTCCTTACATTTGTCCCTACCTCACTATCAGTAGGGGTTAAGGTGATTTACAAAAGAATGTGACCTGGCAGCTTCCTTACATCTGTCTCTGCCTCAGTTCTTCAGTAAGCCCATTGTTACAGCCACTGTGCAAGTTCATTCTCATAACAACGTGTCTAAAGTATGTGAGACAAAGTCTTGCCATCTTTGCTTCTAAGGGACATTCTGGCTCTGCTTCTTCCAAAACAGATTTGTTCGTTCTTCTGCTAGTCCATGGTATATTTAATATTCTTTGACAACACATTCAAACTCATCCATTTTTCTTTGGTTTTTCTTATTCATTGTCCATCTTTCACATGTATGTGAGGTGACTGAAAATCCCATGGCTTGGTTCAGGTATACCTTAGTTCTCAAGATGACATCTTTGCTTTTTAAACACTTTAAAGAGGTTTTATACAGCAGATTGGCCTGATGCAATACATCCTTTAATTTCTTGACTGTTGCTTCCATGGTCATTGACCATGGACTCAAGTAAAATGAAATCCTTGACAACTTCAGCTTTTTCTCCATTTATCATGGTGTTCCTTATTAGTCCAGTTGTGAGAATTTTTGTTTCCTTTATGTTCAGATGTAATCTATACGTCTTTGATCTTCGTCAATGAGTGCTTCAAGTCCTCTTCACTTTAAGCAAAGATCATAGCCTGGAAATCCTATGAGGCAGTTCAACTCTTGCCATGTAGGGTTGCTATGAATTGAAATTGATGCCATGGCACAGAAGAACAACATTCTAGACTGCTAAGTTTAAGATGCCTGTTCGACCTTTTAGTGAGGAGGTTGAGTAAACAGTTGAGTAATAGGAATCTAGAGTTCAGGGAAGATCTGAGGTTGGGGTTAAAAATTTAACTTTTGGGATTGTAAGTATAATTTAACTATAAGCAAATCCTTCATATACTGATACCATAAACCAAGTTGATTGGAGGCAAAAAAAAATTGCACCCATACAGCACAGGTCAGCAGTGTTAACCTTTTTATGTATAATTTATTCAGTCTCTCTGTCATCAGTTATTATTTGGTTGTTAGGTTTTTTTTTTTTTTTTCCTTCTCCTTTCTTGAGTCTCATTTTTTCTCCTTTCCTTTGGCATGCTTTTTATGTTAGAATAATGTAGTTCTGTAGTCATTGGAGTGCTTGGCTCTGTTTCAGGAATACAATAGTCATTATCATTTTGGGCTTTTCTCCCCATTTTCTTTGCCTCTGGCTGCACTAACTTTTTCATCATTAAGACATTTTAGCTGGGTTGCTTTTGAACACTTTCCAGTTTTGTGAAAACATTAAGCAAGCGGCTTGCTCTATGAAGGTTTGTGAGTATGAGTATATAGTTACAAAGAGCAATTTAATCATAAGTCAGATGACAGTGATTCAGTTCCTTCTCCCTATTGTTCTGTCCTCTTCATTTAGAGTTTATAAACACTATTTTCTTTGTTCTGAATATCATCTGTAGATGTAAACCACCATTGCATTTATTAGGTTTTTTGTTGTAAATCCCGTCAAAATTTTTACTCTTTTACTGGCTGGTTTTATATTCCACTTTTTCTTCTTCTTTTTTTTTAATATAAAATTTTCCCTTAATATTGATACTAGTTTTGGAGAAACACAGTTATTACAGATCTTGCATTGCTGTACAGGGAGAAAAGAGCTGAGGTCAACCAGTCTTTTCTGAGTAAAGCTAATTTGCTTCTCTGCCTAAAGAAAAAGTAGGCATCAAGAGAAGCTACTGGCAGCAAGTGGGATTGGAGACTATGACATTTCAGACTCTGTATTTACAGGGAAAACTTAAAGAGAGCACCACAAAGGAACCACTTTTTAATACTGCCCAACTCTGTCCCAGAGTAGTTCAAATTCAGAATGTAAAAGCTAGAATAAAGTCAGATTTGAAGCCTATATCTAATTCTGTGTATAGATGAATGCACTTGAATCAGAAATGGAATCTTCTCAGTGTTTAGAGAAATTCTAAACTAGAACCAAGAAGCTTGCATATCTACCAGAACCTTCCAGAACCTTGATTGCTATAATTGCATAGTGATTGCTATAATGGAATAGCTTCTAGATAAGTCTTTTTAGACTAGCCTGGGAGCCTGGTAGCAATTAGTTAATGCCTGAAGGATGGTAAATGTTATGAGAATTGTGTGCTTCATGGATCTCTCTTTTTCTCCTTTCCTTCTTTCCGACTTTCTGGAGAAACAGGACTGCAGGAACAGCGACTAACAAGCTATGGTATGCTGCACTGGCTCTAATGACACTCATCATGTATTCCTTGGCCACCGGAGGCTTGATTTTGATGGCAGTGTTCTATACGCAGAGAGAAGGCTGCATGGAAAACAAAATTCTCCTAGGAGTGAACGGAGGACTATGCCTGCTCATTTCATTGGTGGCCATTTCACCCTGTGTCCAAAACCGTAAGTATGCTTTTTTCCCCCCCTTATTTGCATTTTTCTAAGTATCTTTGAGCAAACGCAGTGGGTTTCTCTTTGAAACAATGGCCATTCCTTAACTTAATATGAACAAGCCAGCAATAGGAAAGGTGGGACCCATGTGGTCTCTTTATCCCACTCTTAGCCTGAATGTGATAGTCAGGTATGTCTCATGTCAGAAAACCCAAAAAATTAAACTCACTGCTGTCCAGTCAGTCCTGACTCACAGCCAGCCACCCTATAGGACAGACTAGAACTGCTTCATAGGGTTTCCAAGGCTGTAATCTTTATAGAAGCAGATGGCCACATCTTTTTCCCATGGCATGTCCAGAAAGACCTGTAAAATCTAAACTTTATGAAATCAATAAATAGGGAGATAGATAACAAAATTGAATAATTTACTACAAAACCAAAAAACCAAACTCACTGCCATAGCAACTGACTCATAGCAACTCCCTTTGGGTTTCCAAGGTGGTAGATCTTTACGGAAGTAGATTGCCCCGTCTTCCTTCCATGGAGTGGCTGGTGGGTTTGAACTATCAACCTTCTGGTGCCTTAGGCACTGTGCTATCAGAGCTCCTTTCTACAAGGGACCTTTAAATGGAAAATGCCTTTGGCACATATTCCAAATCATGTTTGTGAGCTTCCCCTATAATTTCTGTGTAAAAATTGAATGAAAGGTTTCTCAAAGCTGGTTATCACCTTTCACTCAAGGGCTATAGACCAGAGAGTGGGGAAAGCATGGTTTAGGAGTCAAGAAGCAGGAAATCTGATCCCGGCATGGCCAACAGCTGACTCTATGAGCTAATCTTACACCCAAGTTCTTCCTCAGTGAAGCCAGTAGAAACCATGACCTTTCTCATGATTGTTTCAAAGCCAAATGGAAGAGACCCTAGGATTTGTTTTAGAAAGGAGCCCTACTGGTACAGTGGTTAAAGACCTGGCAGCTAGCTGAAAGGTCAGTGGTTTGAACCCATCAGCCACTCTGTAGAAGAAAAATGTGGCAGTCTACTTCCATGAAGATTGACAGCTTTTGAACCCCCGTGGGGCACTTGTACTCTGTCCATAGGGTCTCTATGGGTCCAAATTGACTTCCGAGCAATCGTTTTTTTTTTAAGTATATATATGAATTACCATTTGTAAACTACTTTGGATATATTAAGGCAGCATGCTGTCTTAGGGGTTATTGAGACATAGGACCCTGGTCTTGAGGGTTCCTGTAGGTATCTTATTCTGCCAATGATAAACATACACACTGCATTTAGGTTTCTAGGTAGGAAAAGAGAAATACGGCCAATAAACATATACCCCCTTGAATCCTCTCTAACATAAAGTGATTTAAAAAGGCAACTAGTATTGAATAATTTTAAGTTTTTCTGTCTTAAAGATCCGTCACTTGTCTGTTTGTCGTACTTTGGTGGCTTGCATGTTTCTGTGAGGCTGGAGGCTATATGCCACCAGTATATCAAATACCAGTAGGGTCAGTCATGATGGATAGGTTTCAGCAGCACTGCCAGACTAATAAAGACTTGGAAGAAGGAAGGGGCCATCCACTTCTCAAAGAATTGGCCAGTGAAAACCTTAGGAATAGCAGTGAAACACTGTCTGATACATTATTAGAAAACTTTATGAATAGCCGTGAAACATTGTCTGATACAGTGCCAGAAGATGAGCCCCTCAGGTTGGAAGGCAAAATACAACTGGGGAAGAGCTGCCTCCTCAGAGTAGAGCTGACCTTAATGATGTGGATGGAGTAAACCTTTCGGGACCTCCATTTGCTAATGTGGCATGATACAAAATAGGAAGACACAGCTGCAAACATCCATTAATAAGCAGGACATGGAATGTACAGAGCATGAATCTAGGAAAATTGGAAGTTGTCCACAGTGAAATGGAATGCATAAAGGTGGATATCCTAGGCATAGTGAGCTGAAATGGACTGGTTTTGGCCATTTTGAATCAAACATCCATATGATTCTACTATGCCTGGAATGACAAATTGAAGAGGCATGGTGTAGCATTCATCGTCACAAAGAATGTTTCAAGATCTATCCTGAAGGACAGTGCTGTCAGTGATAGGATAATATCTATATGCCTACCAGGAAAACCAGTTCATACTACTATTATTTAAATTTACACACCAACCACCGGAGCCAAAGATAAAGATACTGAAGATTTTTACCAACTTCTGCAGTGTGAAATTGACCGAGCACGCAGCCAAAATGTGTTAATTATCACTGGTGATTGGAATGCAAATGTTGGAAACGAAGAATCACCGGTAGCTGGGAAATATGACCTTGGTGATAGAAATGACACTGGAGATCGCATGATAGAATTTTGCAAAGACCAACGACTTATTCATTGCAACTACCTTTTTTCAATGACCTAAATGGCGGCTATACACATGGGCTTCACGACATGGTGTACATAGGAATCAGATTGACTACATATATGTCAAGAGGTGATAGAGAAAGTCACTATCTTCAGCCAGAACAAGGCCAGGAGCTGATTGTGGAACAGACCATCAACTGCTCATATGCATGTTCAAGTTGAAGCTGAAGACAAATAAAACAAGTCCATGAGCGCCAAAATATGACCTTGATTGTGTCCCTTCTGAATTTAGAGACCATCTAAAGAATAAATTTGATGCATTAAACACCAATGACTGAAAGCCAGAGGAATTGTGGGATGATGTCAAAACCATCATCCATGAAGAAAGCCAAAGGTCATTAAAAAGAGAGGAAAGGAAGAAAAGACCAACATGGATATCTGAAGAGACTCTGAAACTTCCTCTTGAATGGAGAGTAGCTAAAGCAAATGGAAGAACCAACAAGATAAAAGAGCCGAACAGAAGATTTCAGAGAGCAGCTTGAGAAGACAAAGTCAGTTATAATGAAATGTATAACGACCTGGATTTTGAAAACCAAAAGGGAAGAACACACTTGGCATTTCTCAAGCTGAAAGAATTGAGGAAAAAATCCAAGCCTCGAGTTGCAATATTGAAAGAATTTACTTGCCTGCTAACCAGACGGCTGGCGGTTCAAACCCACCAGCCACTCCTCGGAAGGAAGGTTGGGCAATCCTACTTCCCATAGTGATACTGCCTCGGAAACCCAAGGAGGGGTTGCTATGAGTCGGGGCCGACTCGACGGCACATAACAACAACAATAACAATGGGCAAAATATTAACTGATACAGGAAGCATCAAAAGAAGATGGAAGAGGTACACAGAATCCCTGTACCAAAAAGAATTGGTTGATGTTCATCCATTTCAGCAGGAGTCATACGATCAAGAACCAGTGGTATTGGAGAAAGAATTTGAAGCTGCACTAAAGGAATTGGCGAGGAACAAGGCTCCAGGAATTGACGGAATACCCATTGAGATGTTTCAACAGACGGATGCCACACTAGAGGTACTCGCTCGTCTGTGCCAAGAAATCTGGAAGACAGCTCCCTGGCCAACTGGCTGGAAGAGATCCATATCTGTACCCATTCCAAAGAAAGGTGATCCCACAGAATATGGAAATTATTGAACAATATCATTAATATCACATGCAAGTAAAATCTTACTGAAGATAATTCAAAAACAGTTGCAGCAGTATATTGACAGAGAACTCCCAGAAATGTAAGCTGGATTCAGAAGAGGATATGGAACAAGGGATGTCATAGCTGATGTCAGATGAATCTTGACTAAAGGCAAAGAATACCTGAAGGATGTTCCCTTTTGTTTTATTGGCTATGCAAAAACATTCGATTGTGTGGATCCTAACAAATTATGGATAACATTGAGAAGAATGGGAATTAAAGAACATTTCATTGGGCTCATGAGGAACCTATACATAGACCATGAGGCTGTCATTCTAACAGAACAAGGGGATACTGCATGGTTTAAAATCAGTAAGGGAGTGGGACAAGATTGTATCCTTTCACCATACTTACTCAATCTGTATACTGAGCAAATAATCCAAGAAGCTGGACTACATGAAGAAGAATGTGGCATCAGAATTGAAGGAAGACTTATTAACAACCTATGATACTCAGATGACTCAACTTTGCTTCCTAAAAGTGAGGATGACTTGAAGCATTTACTGGTTTACTGGTGAAGATTGAAGACTAACTACAGTCTGCAGTATGGATTGCATCTCAACATAAAGAAAAAATCCTCACAACTGGACCAATAATTGGCATCACAGTAAATGGAGAAAAGATTGAAGTTGTCAAAGATTCATATTACTTGGTTCCACAATCAACACCAATGTAAGAAATAGTAAAGACATCAGATGACGTATTGCACTGGGCAAATCTGCTGCAAAACACCTCTTTCAAGTGATGAAGAGCAAAGATGTCTTTTTGAGGACCAAAAGACCTAACCCAAGCCATGGTATTTTCAATTGCCTCATATGCATATGAGACTGGACAATGAATAAGAAATACCGAAGAAGAGTTAATGTGAGTTGTGGTTTTGGCAAAGAATACTGCAAGTACCATGGACTGCTAAAAGGACTACCAGATCTGTCCTGGAAGAAGTGTAGCTGGAATACTCCATACTTTGTCTGCCCTACTTTGGTCATGTTGTCAGAAGGGACCATTCCCTGCATTAGTTGGTAATGCAACTCTCATTCTTATGCCAAAAAGCAATATTTATAAGAGGGTATAATTTTACTTTTCATTGACATTTATAGAATCTCTGGGTGACACAAATAGTTACGCTCTTGGCTACTAACCAAAAGGTTCAAATCTATCCAGAAATCCCTCAAAGATCAAAGACCTGGCAATCTATTCCTGAAAGGTCACAAATATTGAAAACTCTATGGAGCACTGTTCTACTCTGAAACACATGGTGTTGCCATGAGTCAGAATTGACTGGTTTGATTTTTATTGGTAGTTATAATTTAATAACAAGAATAACATAAACAAATTTAATCAGAGGAAATTGGATCCTTTCATGTTAACAGGTTGACAATTTCACCAAAAAAGAAGAAATCTTTTTATCTTATCTTGTTAGTCAGAAGGATCTGAACACTTGGTTTATTTAAATGTCATAACTTTGGAGCCCTTCTGCTCATGGATGGATGCTGAGCCCTAAGCTTCCTCTTTAACCTGTAGCCTATACCAGCTGTGGTTTTTACTCAGTATTCCCCAAGTTTTGCCCTTTGATAAAAAATAACTTCTTTTCTTCCCTGCCCCAGACTATACTGTGTCTGGTGGCCTTGTAGAAATCACCACTTATGGCCTATGAAATCTGTCCATTGTGCTCTGACACAGAGGGTGATAAATTTTTTCTGAACTTGTGATTATGAGAACTAACGAACTACAGGGGAGCTAGGCAATATGTTTCAGTACAACTCTAGAGTTTTAGATAGGCATAGTTAGTATATATATGATCAAGAACCAATGGTATTGAAGAAAGAAATTCAAGCTGCACTGAAGGAATTGATGAGAAACAAGGCTCCAGGAATTGACGGAGTACTCACTGAGATGTTTCAGCAAACGGATGCAGCACTGGAGGTGCTTACTTGTTTATGCCAGGAAATTTGGAAGACAGCTAACTGGCAAACTGACTATAAGAAATCAATATTTGTGCCTATTCCATAGAAAGGTGATCCACCAAAATGTGGAAATGATTGCACAATGTCATTAATATTATACACAAGTAACTCTTACTGAAGATAATTCAAAAATGGTTGTAGCAGTATATTGACAAGAAACTTCAGAAATGCAAACTGGATTCAGAAGAGGATGTAGAATGAGGGATATCATCGCAGATGTCAGATGGATCTTGGCTGAAAGCAAGGAATACCAGAAAGATGTCTACCTGTGCTTTATTGACTTTGCAAAGGCATTTGATTGTGTGGATCATAATAATTTATGGCTAACATTGCAAAGAATGGGAATTCTAGAACACTTAATTGTGCTCATGAGGAACCTATACATAGACCAACAGGCTGTCATTTGAACAGAACAAGGGGATACTACATGATTTAAAATCAGGAAGGATATACAGCAGGGTTGTGTCCTTTCACTGTACTTATTCAATCTGTGTGTTGAGCAGATAATCAGAGAAGCTGGACTATATTAAGAACGTGATATCAAGATTGGAGAAGAACTATTAACAGCCTGCGATATGCAGATAATACAGCCTTGCTTGCTGAACGTTAGATGACTTCAAGCACTTACTGATGAATATTAAAGACTACAGTCTTCATTATGGATTACACTTCAACATAAACTGAAAATCCTCACAACTGGACCAATAATACAACATTATAATAAGCAGAGAAAAAATTGAAGTTGTCAGGGATTTCATTTTAATTAGATGCACAGTCAACAACCATGGCAGCAGCAGTCAGGAATCCAGACCTTGTATTGCACTGGGAAAATGTGTTGCAAAAGACCTCTTTTAAGTGTTAAGAAGCAAAGATGTTACTGAAGACTGAGATGTGCCTGACCCAAGCCATGGTATTTTTTTCAGTCGCCTCATATGCATGTGAAAGTTGGACAATGAATAAGGAAGAAGATGCCTTTGAATTGTGGTGTTGGCTAAGAATACTGAAAATACCATGGACTGCCAGAAAAACTAACAAACCTGTCCTGCAAGAAGTGTGGCCAGAATGCTCCTTGGAAGTGAGAATGGCAAGACTTCATCTCATGTACTTTGGTCATGTTGTTAGACCAAAGTATATCATGCTTGATAAAATAGAGGGTCAGCAAAGGGAATGAAGGGAAGACCCTTCATTAGATGGATTGACACAGTGGCTGCACCGATGGGCTCATTCATGGCAGGGATTGTGAAGATGGGGCAGGACCTGGCAGTATTTGTTCCGTTGTACATAGGGTTCCTGTAAGTTGGAGCTGGCTCATTGGCACCTAACAACAACGTAGGCTTAGGAAGGTGTTATAGGTATTGAGAAATATTAGAATTTATGTCTAAAATAGCAGTGTTAGACTCAATGTCAATTTTTTTTTTTTTAGTTTTATCTGAGAAACACATCCTGTACCTTTTACCTTTACTTTAAAGGTGGGGGTCTCAAGTTTTAGGAGTATCAGTAAGTTACTCTAACAAAACCAAATTCATTGCTGTTGAGTCAGTGTTGACTCATAGCGACCCCTTCTTGGATTTCCAAGGCGGTATCTAAGGAGTGGCTGGTGGGTCAAATGCCTTAGGCACTACGCCACCAAAACTCCCATCAGTAGGTTAGAGTGTCTGATTTCCTTGAGAGGCACGTGCTTTCTTATGGTTGAAATGTTTCTTGTGTTTTATAGGACAGCCGCACTCTGGATTACTGCAGTCTGGGCTCATAAGCTGCTATGTCATGTATCTCACTTTCTCAGCTATGTCCAGCAAACCTGTAGAATTCGGTAAGCTGCCCTTCTCAGGTAGTATGTGTTCATGATGTGACCATTTCCATCTGTGAAAGAAGGAATCCATATCTCTAAAAGCTATTGTCTTAATACTGGAGTTGCAGTAAATCAGAATAGATGATTCAGACTTCTTCATTAAAGAAAGCCTTAAAATGGAATACAAAAATGTAAATTCCTTCTTTGAAATCTTGCCACTGTGTAGGAAGGATGAATGAGCAAAGGTGGGCTGCTGAGGATTTTTTTTCCCATGCTTGATCTGTGTTTATAAAGGAATGTTTTGTTTTGCTTTGTTTATTTACAGATTGGTTATTAATTTAATTTTCTTCCAGTGGTCATTTTCCTGAATGTTAATAGAAAGAGTGGAAATAACTTGGGGTGGGAAGCAGGAGACAGGGTTTGAGCCCAGTGCCACCATTTGAAGCTGTGTGACTTTGAACCACTTATCTTAAATTAAATTTTCAGAGACAACAGGACACAGTGGTTAGAGCACAAACTTTGGTGCTTGGGTTTATATGCTGGTTTGCCATTTAAATAACTTATATAAAGTTAACTTTCTGTGCCTAGGTGCCTCATCTTTAAGGTAAGAATTTTAATTTTAATAAGATAAATGAGTGAGTGAGTGAGTGTACATAAAACAGTGCCTGGTATATAGTGGTTGCTATATATGAGTTAGCTATTTTTATTATAGAGCAGTATGATTATTTGAGAAGGGTTTTTAAACTATAAAAACACTATTATAAGATATTATTATGATCCCTTGAGCCTCACCAATAAAAGACCAAATTTTATTTTTAAAGGAACCTTGGTAGTGCAGTGGTTAGGCGCTTGGCTGCTAACCAAAAGGTTGTTTTTTAACCACCAGCTGCTTCATGGGAGAAAGATGGGGCAGTCTGCTTCTGCAAAGATCACAGCTTTGGAAACCCTCTGGGGGAACCCATCCTATAGGGTCGTTATGAGTTGAAATTGACTCAATGGTGATAGGTTTGGTGTTCTTTTTTATTACAAGCCTCAGATACTCTTTAATAAAAAGACCAAATTTTCTTCTTTTGAGTTCCAAACTCATTTTTTTAAAAAATTGTATTGTGATTTGAGTGAAAGTTTAAAGAGCAAATTCATTCTCCATACAGCATTTCATACACATTTTGTTCCATGACATTGACTGCGATTTCCGACAGTGTAACATCTTTCTTCCCGCTTCCTCCCTGTAGTTGCCTCTTCCCTTTGTCCTTCCCTCCCATGCAGTTCCACTCTCTGAGCTATCTCCCTGTGCAATCACTGCCCTTCTGTTCTTCCACAACTGATCACTTCAAGGAGTGTATCTACCTGATATAAATATTCACCGCATGTGACTATCTATTGTTTGGCTGGCAGCCGCAGGAGTGAGTTCAGGTCCAGACCTGAAGGGTAACTAGAGGCTGTAAACTCAAGGGTCTTATCAGTCTCCATCAGACCAGCAAACCTGGTCTTTTTTTTTTTTTTGTATGGTTTTGAGTTTTGTTCCATATTGTCCTCCCACTCTATCCAGGATCTCCTGCACTGATGCCTTTCTGAGCAGTTGACTGTGGTAACTGGGTACCATCTAGCTCTTCTGGTCTCATGGTCATATAGGCTGAGGATCTCATGGTCTGCTAGTCCCTTGGACTAATTGTTTCGATGGGTCTTGATTTTCTTCATTCTTCTTTTCTCTGGATGAGGAGAGAACCATCATTGCATCTAGATGGCTGCTTATAAGCTTTTAAGATCCCAGTCACTACTCACCAAAGTATAATGTAGAACACTGTTTTTGTGCTGTATGTTATGTCAGTTGAGCTTGATGTCCCCTGCAACCATGATCCTGGACCCACAGGTCCAGCTCCTCACTCCCTCCAGGTAAGCTGGCTGTGGCCAAGAAGCTGCCACAACTTTGCCCCTTGTCAGCTGTACTGTATACCCGGACATTCTTAGCTCATACAAATACGCATTAGAAACATCATCTGCCAACCCTATACATGGTCATGAGCACACTCCCCCCTGCCTAGGCATACCTGACAGTACAGTACTGCACATGCAAAAGGGTTCATTTTTGTTGTCTCCATTATCTGTGTACCTCTGTATGTCTTCCCCTTCCTCAGTGATCACTCACTTTTGGTACATCGCCTTTCCCTTCACCCAAATCAATATTTGTCTCTGTCCAGCAGTGTTCCCTCCCATCCCTGGTAACCAACAAAGAAAGCTTCCTTCCATATATAAACCTTTCCTTGACTTTTTTTTCTTTTTAAACTTTTTTTTTTTTTATTAGGATTTGGGTGAAGATTTACAGAGTAAATTCACTTTTCATACAGCAGTTCACATATACTTTGTCTCATGTCATTG